ATTTGATTATCATTATTTTGACGAAGTTGAATAAATTCAAAAATTGACAAACCAGTTATAACAGCTAATAGAACAATAAACCCTATTATACCGAGCCAAACCAATGGTTTTGCAAACCAACGCATTAATACAATCCATAAAAACTAAAATATTTTTCAAGTTATTTTTTCTTCACTTTCTTATGTTCTCTTTTTTTCATACCGATACTATTGCAGATAAACCGAAAGCCACTAGTATATGTATCCACGATGTTGTCAAGTCTTCAACAAGCATAACAGCTATTTGTTTTAAATTAAGTAAATCAACAAGATATTTAACACCCTAGAGAAATTCACTTGATTTCGAAATAATCTTTTCAAAAAAAACCAGACCTCTTTGAGTTTCGATCCATTTAATGGTTGTCCATTTGAATCATAAACAGTAGCATTATCTTCATTACCATTGGGTGCCTAAAATAAGATATTCTTTCATATTTATCTATCAAATATTTGGTCTTAACCTGAATTATAGAATTAGTTAAACTATCTATTTGTTGAGGAACACATCGACCAAACAATGGTTTACTAGCTATTATATATGATGCACACTTTCCATCTCTAACTAGTTGTTCATTATCATTGTCATATTGAGTTACATCATATGTACAAATTCTATTCACATTATAATCTTCAAATTTATAATAAGATGTTCTATTTGGACATTGTTGAACACAAACTTGTTTTGTAGGACAAACAAACGGACGATCTTGTAAAACACTAGTAGGTACATTAAGTAACTTTATACATTTTGTCCAATCAAAGAAATAAACATATGGTCGATTGGCATATTCCCCCGTACCACAAATATTACCTTCACTATCAGTTGGATATAATAATTGTCTTGGATCGCCTATGTATTTCATAGAAACATTGATAGAAAATTTATATAAATAAATACCTTCTTTGAAAGCAAAAATACTCAAGACAATAAAACAGATGATAAATATAAGAAACAGGATACAACATGGGATATCTAAATACATACATCTTTTTAAGATTAATTCAACAATATATTTTTTTCTTTATTAACCAGTGCAAGATTTTTTTCGTCGAAGAGCTTGTTTTGGTGATTCAATTTGAGCCTCTTTATCCGAAGCATCCGATATTTGGTTTGATGCCCTTTTTCGATATCTAATATATTAATCAAATTTTTTTCTTCATTTATTAAAATCTCTTTTTTATAAATGTAAAAACTAAATACCTTTCTTGAGTCTTTGGATGTTTCGACATAATAATTTCGTTTCTATCTATTCGTTACGTAGATAGGATGCTCTAAAACAACAATCTCATCTTAAAAAAAGACAAGAGCAAAAGTGAGCTTGCATCATATCTACAAAATACACACTGTTGCTAACGATGTATAATACTTTCGAACGTCCCTCTCACATATTCAAGGGATTTTTTTTATCAGACGATATAAAAGATAAGGAAGAAAAAGCGTATAAAAATGTGACATGAAATAAAAAGATCTTTTACTCTTCTTGTTAAAAAAACGGAAGAATGATAAGATCTTCATACTGAGAATAACGAAAAAATATTATATGTCTGATTCTAATTTATAGTGGTATTAGTTTTAAATTTTATTGAGTAACATGAATATGCAACAAAAAAAAAACAATATTGAGAGATTTTTTTAAAACAGTTATTCAACTAATATGTATAATAGATCTTATCGAAAATTATTCGTTAAACTTATAAAGAACTATCGCATTAGGGTGGGTGTGGGTGTGAGTGTTGCCTCTACTAATGCTGACATTAACACTCAGATCCAGACCAGACTCACACCCACATGTTTCACTAAAAATACTGCGTGTCTGCGTTTTTTTTGATTCAAATTCATTATAACACTGTAAACTCGTCTGTTGACGATAGAGGACATAAAAAGAGAAGAGACAAAGATCAGTATTTGCACAATATATCACTTGGATTCTTGAAAGAAAAGGACGTAGTAGAAGATAATAAGAAATAGAACAAAAAGGGACAATAAAAATAACGACGAACA